GATACTTACGGATTGTAATTTATAACATAACTGATCGTGCCTGTAAAAGTGGCATGCATTTCTTGTAAACATATCCGTTTCTACGAAATATAAATTATTATTATCCCCATGAATGGTATTGAGACGATTAGGTAGCAAAGTAGAATGTTTTGCGATTGAGAATCGTAGTCGTTGTGTTTCGGATTCATATCGCGCATCCGATTGTTAGAACCCTATGGATAAAGCTTTTTCCTCATTATGATATATACAAACCGTAAGCAGGCTGTCTTCGGTTAAATTATTTTTACTTTTTAAGTGACAGAAAACAGTGAGTCATTTGAAGCGATAGGATAAATACCTCTAAACGCTTTCGCGAAGAGATTAGGATATGTTTATTTTTCCGACTGGGAGACGATCTTTTTACCCAGAAAGCTCTCAGGATGTCCGCTTTAACTTTGTAATTCAAAGATAACGTTGAGTTGCTCACTTAGGTAGTAGCAACAGGAGATTATTTTCAGGGGGAACTACTTTAAGGTAGCTTTAGGTAATGCGTCATAGAAGTAAGCAGTGTATGTTTATAGTGTCTAAATATATTAAACATTGTAAATCTGGTCAAGTCGTAGTTCTCACATCTGAATTTTTTAAATAATTAGATGCACAAAGGCGTGAGTTATTTAATATTCATAAAGTAGATATGCAAACACCGCAGTTATTGATCATAGAAATGATGGATATTAGATGACATCACATGATTCAACGGCATATTAGGAATAGATGAAAATTGTTTCGTTGCAACTGGCTAGATAAGGCGATTTTAGCGTATCGAACAGTACAGAATTATTATTCCACTTGCTAAATCTTACTTAGTTTTTACAATGTGCTACTGTACGGAAACAGACACAAAATCTTACGAAGTGCTAAAGTAACAGTCTCATAATACTATAGTAAATCTCCATACTACTAACTAAGCTTAACATGCATTGATCCGAATTCACTTATTACAAAAGCACATAGTACTGCGATGCACTGAAAAAGTCTAGATGAAGTAGAATTGAAGAGTATATTAAATATTTCATTAATTTACAAAAGAAAATCCCGATGAAGAGTATTAACGTTAGTTTGACCGAATGATATTTCCGCTGGTTTCATATTCCACAACTTCCGTATACCTGAAAAAAATAGAGCACATGTAAGGACTAGCATAACATGAAGTTATGAAAGATAATTCTACATATTAGCACACACTATGAATACACTGATTCTGTTAATACTAGGTAATATCTCATGCAAATGAAAGTATTTGTAGTCCACAGCTGGTTTTTACATTGACGCCGTTTCCATAAATAGACCTCATATGTTTACCAGTATTAAAGGATTATACGCAAATAACAAGACAATCTTTGAAGCTTCCATACTGTTGAGGCGTCATACTCTCATTAACCTTAGTTGCAGATCAACTTCACACTGAATACGTTTACATTAAATGAAGTATTGCAAATGTGTAACTTAGAAATTGATCCATAATCTCAGTAATGTCTAATGAGCATAGTTTTATGAATCCTACAGAAATTACATTCTCATATTTAGGAATCTATAGCCATCAAATATAAGCTGAACATGCCTCAACTCTAAGCAACTATGCACAGTGTTAGCAGCATAGAGAAACACTTAAAATATTGTAAGATACGCAGACCTGTTGCGTTGATGAGGATAACAATGACATATAATGCAACCTAGACATTCGATCGTGACACTGCATCTCTACTGCTTCATGTTAATGGGAAATTCAGGAAAAATTCATCACCACTACTGGTGATCAAAAACAGTGCAGCATTAAGTTTACAGTGCCAGTGAGAATGGCATAACATACAGTAGATTGATAGTAATAGAGCTGACTAGATTCAGTTCTCATAATCCACACAATTCATGTGTATAATAATACTATACACTGAATTAATGCACTAAGTGGCACAGTAAGGAAATTTAAACGAGTGATTATCTTCTCCACTGCATTGCACTTACAATAATCATGACAACCACCTACGTTTGCCAGCCAAGCAGTCAGCTTAGCAATGGCACAATATCAATAAAGTTGAGGTATTTTTTATACATTGAGTCCAAATAACTCATATAACGATACACCAAACAGTGCAAATATACATGAAATGCATTTAGAAATAACCTCTCAACCTACGATAATTCCTGTCCAAACACACATACGGTGAGACAAATCCACATGATTACTTCTATTCCCACAGAAGGTTCTGTTAGCATTTACAGGTGATTTCGAAGTACTGATAGAATTCTTTTGTCAAAAAGGACTGTTCTTCACACGAAAATAGGCTGAATTAATATCCTGAGACGTGAAGTCTCCATTGAATGATACCATGACGAAAGGTGCAGCATCTGAATACAGTAGATTATTTGTGTAGATGAAATTACCCTTCAACTATCCTATCTTTCTCATTATATCGATATTTTGATACAGTCCGCCTGAAACACTGATCGTTGCAACCAATATGCCAGGGGGGGGGGGTCGCAGTCAGATTACATGACGCGGACACCAAAATAACAGGCCAGAAAATGGGAATTCTCATCAATCCAGAAAACATATAACGCAATTTTATTAAAAATTACTGACAAAAAAAATTTCCAAGGGAAATTTTAACGGCGCTACTAGAACATGGCATTTAACGTCTACCTTCAAAAATACTCACACTTAAAGACCTTCAGTGTGAGTATTTATATGTAAACAAATAATTTGATTTGTACTCAATAATTAAGTAAACTTTTGAAGCTGAATAAATACGTTTAATATATCATTATCATTATGTCAAATGTCTGTTTAAGTGTCACCGTTGATTACTACCTTGCTCACTAATAATTTGTTTCCCTTTCAGGATAGTTCAGTGATCTACTTGATGATGGGGGTCAGGTGTAATTTTGCATTCAGACTTCGTATTAAAAGACAATCATTCTACTTGTGTGTATCATTTGCAACTCTAACTGTTCATTTATCCTAAAGAATTAATTTGCCGAATTTTTGTCAACTTTTTTTCCTTTGACCAATAAACAAATGAAATATATTTATTTTCATAACGAACCGTTATTTGAATTGCGAGTTGTGAGTTATTTGACGTAAAGAGAATAAGGAAAAAGTGATGCGCGTAATAGGAGGAAATTCTGCTGATTAGGGTGCAAACATGAGGGTAATAGGGGGAAAATCTGCGAGTAATAGGGGGGAAATATGCAAGCAATAGGGGGAAATTCTGCTAATTAGGGGGAAATTATGACTTCAAGAAAGGGGGAAAGTGTGACAAAAACGGAGGAAATGTGCGATGTCTGATAAAAAAGAGCAAGATCTTATCATAACCCTATTTTTTCCCTTTTTCTCTCAATGGAACGTCCCATTTTCTCCCCCTTTTTAACACGATTTTCCCCGTATTTGTCCGATTGGGGATAGATATACTGAAACGTGAAGTTTTCATTGAGTTATACTATGCCGACAGGTGAAGCTTCTGCACAAAGTAAACTATTTGTGTAAATGACATTACCCTCCAACTATGCTATCTTCCTGTTTATACCGATATTTTTTAAACAGTCGGCCTGAAACACTAATCATTGCAATCAATATGCCAAGAGTGTGTCGCAGTCAGATCACATGACGCGGACACCAACATAATTAGCCAGGAGATGGGAATTCCCATCAATCCAGATAACATATAACACAATTTTATAAAAAACTTATTCACAAAAGAATTTCCAAGCGAAATTTCAACCCAACGTGACATATAAGTCCAGTCGTTCAAATTTGGGTATATTAGGAAGAAGTGGTCTGTTTTCAGTTTTAACATGGGTAAAGTGGAAATACGTGGGCAACTATTTTCCGGAGACATGGGTAATGTGGGAAAATACGGGAAACACGGGAAAAGTGGGAAGAAGTGTGGGATTTCGTCATTGTAGCGCAAACATACAGCTGAACTGCATGGGATAAGGCACATTTCAGCCCGAATGTAATATAATCTGTATTTATTCACTGGGTAGTTGGATAAAGACAAGGTCTGACTGTTTCATTTCAATCATTACAACACATTTGTTTATGTGAATGTTAACTCAACTTCATCTTCGTGCGCGCCCAGCCTGGTAAGTTAGGTGTGAAATCGTGTGTTCTCTGCCTGCTTCTCCTGCTAACTTGTTGTGTTTCGCCTGACGCATATAGAAGTGACTGATTGAATGTTGGTGTTGAAAATGCGAATTTTATTATGTAAGGTGAGTCAGAGGAGAAGATTTCCAAACTAATCTTAGAGCGATGGAGGTCTGCCTAGCCTTTCAGCTTCTGGTTTTGTCATCCTTATCCGTCCCTTGTGCGTGTATTTGAAACGCTGGTACATACTCAGATGAGTAAAGGAAGTGACCTGTTTGAAATTTATTCCGTTGATAGTGATTGTTGTTGTCATCACTTCCATCTTCTGTATGTTCGCTTGAAGTCGTATCTTCGCTGCCCTGTTCATCAGTTAGTTTGTTGGTTATTCGCCTGTGAGTCTTCGAATTTATGTGACATTAGACATCGATCGTGCAGAAAGTTGAGATGTTCTATAGTCTTCGTATCGGTCCAATATGTTTTTGTCTTGTTTGCTTCCTAGGTAGTGGGTGTTGTGCATAATCCAGTCCACCACACTTGGGAATATCATGGTTGGTGATAGTGGTGATAGCCTTTGTCTTGTCAATGCAATGTTACGAGATCGTGTTGGTTACCGATTTTCACATCGCCTTCTAATCACTGAAGTTTAGCAAGTTATTGTTCTATGATTAAATTCGTTTGTTTCACTGTCTACGACTTCATTTATTGGGCGTTGGGTTACACTTCTATTTGTTAGAGGAACTGATTAGAGGTATAAAACTTTCTTCAAATTACTCAAGATGTTTATTCATTCCAGTTGTAACTTCTATTTTAGGCTCATTAAAATAGTGACCTTGATTTCCTCAATAATTAATTTCAGAGAGAAATGAGCAAACAAATATGTGGCATTTTGAACTGATGCATTTCTGTGTAAATTTGTATTGTTGGAACTCAACCTGTCAGTCAGTCAGTCGCTATAAGCTTATGTCATAGTTATGATAAGCTTGTTTACATTTGTTGTCGTTATCTGAAACGTATGTCTCCTTTTTTTCTCTCAAGATTTTAGGTGCTTTTTTGACTTTTTCACACTCAGTCATACACATATGTCACCAAAAAGGGTTAAAAAGAGTGAATTAAGGTAAGTGGTTTGGAAAGTTCTCACTGCTGACTTCTATATATATGCATATATTTTCGGCAAATTCTTATATCACGTTAGGTATTTGTCATACTTTATTCCAGGTAACGGTGTTGAAATCAACTGGTATCACACTTCCACATGTTTCGGTGGCCTGACATTCCTCTATTAACCAGAAAAAACCAAAATATAATTTGTTACTTCAGGTCTGTTTTGCGTAGACATGTTGTTTATCGTAAGCATATCAACCATCCGATTTTACTATAGGAGGCTACATCAGAGGTCCGAAAGTTTATTGACCGGTAAAATCTCAGTATCGATTATGTGTTAAGAGTGTAGGTAGTACAACTCAGAATTGATTAAAACTACTCAGATTTCTACATGAACTGGACTGAACTGAACTTTCGACGAAGAACTTTGCACAAAAGTGCAACAGCATAAGTCGCTACACACGCACACACTACATACAGAAGAAAGAATAATCACACAGAGGATTATGACGTCTTAATTAATCCATCTGGCAGATTACAAACAAGCGAATACATGTAAACCAATAAGAACAGGTTTCAACCATATCACTAACAATCTCAAACCACCATTGGTTCTCAGAGTTTCTGATAACTCCAACCAGGTAGATAGTCTACACCTCACTGTGAAATTCTACTTGAATGGTATGAATTTGTTCCACCTAATTAGTACTGTCGATGACTAGCTCATTCATGAGTGGAATTGTATATTGCTAGTAAGGCTGATGGGTCAGGGGTGGAGAAAATTTAGTCCCATTAGTCCGAATGCAGTAGACTATGTATAGAATCTCTGTATGATGAATGGTTCAGTTAAGTTTTGTAAGAGTGTTAAAAGTTACTTTGTCTGTGTTGGTTCAGGTTGTAACTCGTTTTATTTAGAATCTTAGCGTTGAAAGTTCAAATAATTGCCAGGAAAAGCCAATATGGAAATCTGTTCGTCCATATTGCCAAACTTCATACCTGTGCATTATTAAGTAATTGGTGGATGACTTAAAGAGGCTAGTTGTCTTTGAACAGACATGTGTACATTCTGTCTCCCATGTTAACTGGTATAAAATCGTTGGGCACAGATTGTGAGATAAGGAGAGTAAGTCAGTCACTGATGTTGTAAAGTCACATCGATTGAGATGGCTAAGACACCGTGTTATACATTGACACATATGTGCCATCAACTTCTCTGTCGAGTAATCTTAACTGACAGGATTGATTCAGTTGGAGTTGAGTTAGTGGTAGTCGAATCAAAGCATGGAATCAATTCATGAGGTCTTTGACTGTTGGTCTGAGTCAGCCACCACATACATAGTGAGGTGTGGACTGTATACCACCTTGTTGAAGTTACCAGAGACTCTGGGAACCAATGGTGGTATGAGACTGTTAGTGATATGGCTGAAAAGTGTCTCATTGGTTCACATGTATATTCACTGTTTTGTAATCTGGGAGATGGATTAATCAAGACGTCATGTTCCTCTAGGTAATTATGCTTTCTCTTCCGTACATTTGTCTTCATTGAACTTACCTTTTTGAAGTCTGTTCCTGTGCTTATGTGTGCTTAGTGTGAATGTGTCAACTCGTACTGTTGCAATTTGTGCAAAGTTGTACTCTAAAATTCCAATCTCGCTGTCAAAAATGACACACACACACACACACTGTCCACTCACTGGCAATCGTCTGTATGAAGTTCCTTATCCTTCTGAAGGTGTATAAGTCTCTTGGTTTTCTTTGCTGTGTGCATTTGTGTGTGTGTGTGTGGGTGTTTGTGTAGATATCTCATTTCTATTTAAATGTTTTATTGGTACTCACATAAGTAATGCAAACTGGTCATTGACTCGGTTCTCCCAAGAGAACTATCTTCATGAATTTTGAATTGAGATATTGATTAGGCTTCGGATATGCTTAGAAGTTGTCTCTCTCTCTCTCTAAGTCGGTTAGTGAGACGTTGTTGCAAAATCACAGATGACCTCCACTGACTGTAAGTTGTTCTCCGTGCCTGTAAAAATAGGTAAGCTCCCTATCGTCTAGTGGCCTTTGTGTGCATGTATCAGTTTATCTGCTCTTGTAAAGTGGGCAGAGAATGGTTTCTGCACGTATAGGCGAACATATTCTCCAGCATAATTTTACAAAGGAAAAAGTAAGGTTGTGCGAAACGCTATTCTGGAACACACTTAATCGGCTTCTATTAATCTACCAAGCGTGACAGTGATTTTAAGATCATCATCTATAGAATTCATGCTAACTCGCTGCGTTTTCTTAGTTCTAAACTTCTAAAGACAGTGGAGGCCTTGGTTATTGGTGAATCCAGGCCAGACCTTTGTGTACAAGAGAAGTGTGTTCAATTCCTGTCTCTGCCTCTCACTTTGAACTGTTCTGGTATTCCTTCTCTTGTCCAACTTATCATTCTGAATCGCAATATCTTTTGCAATGTTGAATTCTGTCCAATCAAATTTCAAATCATGTTATATGACGTCTTTTATCTGCCTCCTACTCCTCTTAATTGTACACCCACTTGCAACATTAATACCTCCTATCAATAATGAAATCCCTACAAACCAATTTTGTTTATTTCTGTACGTTCCCAGTGTAACATAGGGCTGGCTTCAAGTAAGAGGCTTGAAGTTTCGGTAGCAGTGGTGTTTATTTCTACGGGATGGAGATGCTAGCCTCGTGTCCAACCTCTCCTCTTCAACAGTCTTATTCCTGGCTTATCGAGGTAAAGGAGTGTCTACAGTGGCCGGGAATCGAACCGCGGACGACTTGCGTGTTTGGCGAGCATTCTGCTACTGTGCCACCAAACTAATAACTGATAATTAGTCTGGTGCTCACTAGTGACTAGCTCTGTACGGAAAGTTACCCGAGGTTCTAGTGAGTAGTGGTGACCTGCGAAGTCCATCAAGTCAGGTATCAGAGATCAGTTACTCACCTGTGTCATTTGCTGGCGGTTGCTCTGGTAATATCATGAATGAATTGGCAGAATTTGTATTGAATCCAGTGACTGTGAGTGATTTACAAACTCACTTTGAAACTGGAAAGTGCTGGCTTCTAACCCCTGTGTTGGTGGATGCGTACTGCTGCAGAGTCGCAAACTTGTCTGATGAAACAGCTAGCTATTCAGTACTCCTCCAATTGATATTAAACCTGAAACCTATTCTATGTATGACTATTTGTTTTGCCATTTGAGTTTTAACCATGATTATAATCACAAACATTTTAATTATATTGCATACTACTGTTACTATTTTGTGTATTCACAGCCTTGTTTAAATTTCCTTACGGGACATAATTTCCTAACGGCTATATACATAAATATATATACTCGGTTGTACAGCTTGATAATAAAATTCGGATTTTCAACACTAATGTTAAGTCAGTCAGTCGGTCAGTGAGTTCTTCTGTATGGATCAGAAACTCGGCGAAGGCGTGACGAAAAGCATTTTCAACAAGCTACTGTGTAGACATTTATCAACAATTGCTCACCTTCGCTGGCTGCCTCCATACTGAAGATCGCGTAGTCTGTCAGAAAGAATCAGCAACAAGAAACTCTGTGAATGAACCAACAGGCGAAAACAAATGCGTTGAAGGAAGTTGATACGGATTGGATACCTGATGAGGGGACTTTTGGGTGACACCTCTGTGCAGGCCAGTCCAGGCCATCGAGTGGAACCTGAGTGGGAAATGACGTGTTGAGTGTGTTTCCGATGGTGATATGGAAGAGATCATGAGGGCGAGGAGGAGCAGGAGTAGGGGATGAGTGACTATGGGCAATTGTGGGACCAGCTAAAGAGGACAGCAGAGAATAGGACAGAGTGGAGATGTGCTGCTGTTGAAGAGGTCTCTGTTCCACTCGGAACCAAAGGGAACAATAATAATGATAATAATTAATAGTGATGATACAGATGGATAAGGGATGGAAAGGGAAAGCGGGGTCACTTCTCTTAATATAATGTTGTTACACTTCCACATAGATATGTGAATCGTTTATGTTTTATTTTTTGCCTAATTAAATATGATGAAGGCAAGGAAGGGGGTGGGTGAGAGGCGGTTCAAAATTCACACTTCTGATAAATGTGAACGTATGTGTACATGTTTGTCATCTTCGGTTTCTTTATTTTGATTTTCTCCATTATCGTTGTTTTTGTGTTGTTTGTTGTGTAAACACCTTTTGTATCCGTTTGTGTGTGTGTGCGCGTGTGGCTGCCTTGTTTCAACTTGATGATTAAGTGTAGGTATATATCGTATATGTATGCGTATATATATATATATATATATGTATATACCGTAGTATTATTGACATTTGTGTCTCCATTTTAGAACTGAACACTTGCTCAGATTAGCGTCAAAATGCGATTTGCCAGTTATTGCACAGCTGGTGAATTATCTGCGTCAAAAAATGGTAGATTTTGGCTTTATAGAAGACAAGCGGCATTTGAGAGATTCCATGGATGGTAAGTGTAAGAATTGAAATCAATTATTGTGATTATTATTATTATTGTAATATTTTATTGATTATTTGTGCCTTGGATCCGTAGTGTAGTATCGAGGCGTTGAACAGTCAGTAGCCCATCTCCATTTCATCTCGTGTTCTCTGCAGTCCCTTCTAGTTGGCTTCACGATTGTTCGAAATTGCATATGCCATCCTAGCTTTGATGATAAGGTTAGAAATATCATCCATGACACACCTCCTCCACCAGCACTCATACAATTACTCAGAACTTATCGACAACTTAAAGCGGTTCACCTGGAAGGATTGAGTGCAGGTACAAGCTGCTGTCATTCTTGTAACAGTACCGGTGCTGAGTACATGTATATTCTTTGATAAATAGGTGGATATCACGTCTGCACACCAGCGATGATATAAGTTAGCAGGAAATGCCACATCTGCCTATTGTTAATATCCGTGCTAAAGTGTTGTCAGCGGGGGCGGTCAAGAGAGGGTTGAGTGAAGTTGACTTTTAAAACAATTTTATTTTTGAGATTTAAAAGATTTTATATATATATTCCTAAAAAGTATGTTTTTTACTTTTCATAAGTTGACTGGTTGGATGATAAGACGCTCCAATTGAAGTTAGACTTCGAGGACGCCTATCACATATGGTCAGTGAGGGGAACAGAAGCCTCCTCTGAAAGATACCAAAATCTTCATCGAAAATTATTGGAGCGGTACAGTCACCTACACAGTAAATGGGAGGAGAAGATAAAACTGTGTAATCATTCTGAAATTTCGGCAGTGAAGAGTAAATTGAGTGAGGATAATAAAGCAGCCTACAAGGAATTATTGCAAAAATTGAAGGGTAAGCTTGATCACCTTTGTCTGCTTGTTTGATTTTCGCATAACTTATTTATTTTTTCAACCTGATCGCTTTGTCAGCTAGGAGATTGTAACATTTCGACGAAAATTCCATGACGTCGTAACAATGAAGATATGACTGACTGATTGGCGTAATGTTGACCCAGATAGATTGCCAACAAAGTCTCCGATTTCAGTGCCAGTTAATGGCATAAAAATGTTTTAGTCCATAATGATGCAGTGTAGATTAGTGATAGACTTCAGTTGTGTAAAGCAGATCCAACGTAGTCAGTATCGTATGGAATTTCGATCTCTTCTTCAGTATTCATTTCTTGTGGTTTTGTTTTTGTAATATTTCGTGCACAAAAATATCTAGAGGTTTAATATACAATGAATGATATTTAGCAGTTGACGGTGGGTGGTTATTGTAGTTGGGAATTGAAGATGCACGCACGCGTTTTGTCGTATTATGGGCTTGCCTGCCTAATTTACCTGCATCTCCCATTGAGAGTGATAGCCTTTCCATCTAGACTTAAACTCTGAGGCCGATATAGTCTGTGAATGGACGAAGCATGTCGATTCAGTGAAAATTGATTAATTTGAGAAACCCTAACTAGGCGGGAGGGTTAGGGTGGTTTTGGTGTTATCTGAAAGGAGGCTTTTAGGGTTGATTTTTGCTGTAAATACATAAATAAGTATATATAAATTCTCTTTTTGATATGGATTTTGTCATGGAACAGTCGTCATCAGTTGGACAGATCATCATCACTGTGAAGCTTAGGGGGGAGTAGTGAACAGCTGCTTTCTATCTGTATGAGCTTGAGACTGTCTTCACCAATGCACATTGTCGACATCACCGTTGGTCTTGGAACCTGGGACCTCTGTGACGAAATAGTTATTTGAAAGAATCCCTCCTGAAGGATTGAATTACAAAATCGATACTTACTTATATGACTGTTTCAATTAACCGTGTAGTTATTATTCCTTTCCCTTCTAGACTGTTGTATATTCATTGTTGTTCTGATATTCGCCTATCATCTGTTGGCTTGTTCCTTCCTTATAAATGACTTGTCTTTCTTCCTGCTTGTTTCATTTCTAACTTGAATGATTCTGTGTGTAGTTGTGAGATACACACTGGTGATGTGTTTTGCTTTGCGATGTGATTTTGTTTGAGTGAATGGAGGTGAGAATCCCGCCCTGAACATGATTCTGAAACCGTGTTGTGGTTACAATTGAATTTTGGCTAACTAACTTTGTTCTACATTTTACTTGTTTTGTACTCAGAAAAACTATCTCGTCTGTAGAGCTGCTCAGCAGCACTGTATCGGCAGGTAATCTTGAGTTTCTATGATTTTATAAATTGTTGAATAGAACGTGGAACACATAGATTTCAAGTGTCTTTGGAGCATATTTGTGACTGTGAGAGAGTAGGTCAACGAAGTTTCGCACGGCTGTAAAGTAGGACGCAGAGATCAGTTTCCTGCATTCAGAGCACTCCAATGAGTCGGTCCTGGTCGTAACAACCTTCAGGTTACGACGACATCAAGCTGGTTAAGCATTCACCCTTTCGGCTGGCTAAGAGATTCAATGAGCCTGTGAATTCTTGCTACGTCTTAGTGACTACTGAATTGTTAACGAGCTCAGCTCATAACTTTCAGGTTGTGATTTCGATCTCGAGGCGGTGGTAGGATGTCATGAGTGAGTACTGCTGAAGAATCTCAAACTAGGGCGAAGCAGAGCTTTTCAGTACATTGTGGCTTTTAATGATTCTCTGACTGATTGATATCAGTCAGTCCGTGATCACACATATACCCATCAATATACATATTTTCAGAGGTTTGTTTCTCTCCGGAATAGAAGAAATCTGGTAAAGAGAGAGACTCAGCTGTACCGTGATAGGTATTTGTTCAGAAGATGTGATTGGAGGTGAATTGAAAGTTATATCATACGACACGTTAATTGGGAACAGCTAGGCTGGAAAGTTCACCAGTAAACACATGGCCAACACACTGGTAAAGAATTCTTTTGTGTCTGTTAACAAGGAATCTCTGAGAATATACGACTGATGGTGTACCGAGGGAAGTAATAACCAACAAGTTGAGCAAAAGTCGGCTGAGAGAATGTTTAATGCTGGGAAGCTGCAGCTTATATTTTCCACACAACTGGTTGTGATTCCTCAAGTGAAAGATGAAGTAGCCAGTCTAGCCTCCTGTAATTGTAGTTATCAATTTAACAGCTCTCTTCTGGAGTCAGTTATATTGTTGGCGTCAATAACTCTAGGAACCTGATTTTTCGTGCTGGTTTGGGAACACCTACCAGTTTGATTGAATAAAAGTGTTGTTAAAACCACGAATAGTTTGATGTTAGATCGCCTCGTCCGAAACATACCACAAAGCTAGCCAGCAGGCCAGCTAGCATCGAACAGTCTCAATCGGGTATCGAATCAATGACCGAAAACAGCAGAGGTTATTGTGATTGGTTTAAATCAAGTGGAGTTTTGTGTGTGTGTGTGTGTGGGGAGGGTAGAAGAAACAGGTCGAAGCAGCCACTCCTGGTGGTAATCTGGCCTACTGTTGAGCCTATAATTGCATACATTCCATGTGATTGCCCCCCTGGTTGACCTGAAAGTCAGTTTAGTGTTACATTAATGCATATTATCTCTCTCTCTCTCCTTACTGACGCTTTCGATCGAACGGTAATCTGTTGATGTAATTTAAAACAGCATTGATGTTGTTAATAACTGTATACATATATATGTATATACTGATCGGTAGTAAATGCTTTGAAATTCATTCATTGTAACTCGATTTGTTTTTTCAAAATATTTTCATTAATTCCAGATGATGACAGCTGCGATCCTGCATCATCCTGCAATGCTTCGTCATCATCCACCTCTCATGCACACCAGCAAACCGGACGTACTCTTCCTCGTATAAGCTGCTATATCCCCTATAAATAGATGCCCTATCGATGCGTAAAACATACCGAAGGACTAGTTGCTGATGATTATAATAGTGGTGAACAACATGTATGACTGCTATTCATCTCATCTCATCTCATCACTATTCTCCATTCCTTTATGTATATAACTGTGTTGGTTACTTTTGTTTTGTTCTCAGATTACTATGTATTCCTGTATAGTACTATTTTTTAAAGAAAACAGTTAATAAAGACAAATTTCTCTGTGTGCACTAGCCTTAGTTTTGTATCTCTCTCCATCACATACACGCTCAGACACACACACACTCACTCAGCCTCTTTGTATGTGTAACAAATTTTGTCGTCCTGCTGTTTGACGAGCATCGGTGACTCAGTGGTAGGATGGTGGTCGACTATGCCTGTTGTGCGGGGCTCGATTCCCAGTCGGCTCACACGTTTACCTCTCTTGCCAGCCGGTTGTTGTAAACCAGACAAAGGGGCAAGGTTAAGTTAGGTGTGTGAGGCTAGCCAGCCCACCCAGTAGAGAAAACCACTGCTATTGGAACTCTGTAGGTCATGCTTGAAGCCGCCTTATGTTCCAGCTGGAACGCAAAGGTATAAAAAACATTCCTTCCTGATGTATTAATAACTATTTTATCGTAATAACTATTCCCTCTTGGGTTTGGAGTATAAAACAGGGCTGCAAGAGGACATCTCCCATTTCACTGTGTTCACTGCACACTTCGCTTTTAGCTGCCTCCACGACTGCCTATTAGCTGGCTTTCAGTTGCTCAACCTCCTTCATGTCATCGTCGTACCTACGCCCGACTGGTCGTTTCTCACCGCGGTTCTATTCGAGAGCTGTGATGTGACGCATGATGTCACTGAATAGTCTCCTCAGCGTAGATCCAATCCATAATTCATATGCATTTTCTTCACCATATTTTGTTGAGCCAGAGTTTTTTGTTACTAATTCTTTCTCGTCAGCCATCTGATCTTCGGCTGTGGAACCAAGAAAGTGTGCAGGTGTCGGTGAACGTCCGCAGCTGGCTGTTGGAAATACTTTTCGTGATGCGGTGAACAAGTTTCTGACCCATTGAGAAGAACTGACTGACTGACTTAACACTGGTGTTGAAAATCCGAATGTTTTCCTGTTTGGTGAATGCACTAAAGATTTGTCAAGTGATTTCAGAATGACGAGTATTTATGTTGGCTTTTCGATTGTGGCTGGCTTTGACATCGTCATCCGTTTCTCCCGTAGTTGAAAGGGTTTTGCCTGCCTCACACTTGACTGGATGGACCTCACTGGTCACAACTTCTTACTTAGGACTCCATGAAACTCCGTCCAATAGCTAGTCACTAGTGTTCATCAGATTTATTTTCCATGGTTGGATTGTAAGGAGGTTTAGTTTTGTTTTCACGAGTTTATCACGGATTAATATTTGTTAGAGATCCATTTAATACCAGGGTGTACTGGACAGCTGTTTCATCAATGCTTCTCTAACTGTTATCAATCCGTGATCAATTCGTAAAAACAAAACTAATACTTACAAACCAACTATGGGAAATTAAGGCTATATTAATGAATTATGCAGTTTACAGAATATTTTTTGACAAACTATTCATGAGTCATATGTCTGACTAAATTATTACTTGATTACAGTTCAAAATACTAAATTGAACCGATCATTAGATATCAAATGAGTAAGCGATGATGAATAGTGATCACAGTGAATTTTATTCATACTGATTATGAACTGCACGTATATGAATGAAAAAAAAATGGTTTAAGAAGTCACGACTATTTGTGTATTGTGTGTGTGTCAGTGTGTTGATGGGGGGGGGGATAAGTTAAATTTGAGAAAACAAAAGGCGTTTTCCCGCAAGTGTAAGTGCTTTCGAAAAAAATAGTGGAGACTTAACCAGATTCTCTAAGTATCGATAATTTAAGTCATGCATACTGGATATTTAATAAAGATGATTTAATGGGTCGGACAACAGATTGATATCAGTTAGAGAAACATTGGAAACCACCAGGGAGTACTGGAGAGCTGTTTCGTCCTAGTTTAAGACTCATCGGTAGTACGCACCCATCACAGGGGTTCGAATCAAAGACCTTCCGGTTACAAGGCAAGCAGGTATACCATTCAACCACTGCCACCCAATTCAATGGCCCGTGGTGTAACCTGAAACAAACAGAATCACTACAAACTAATTCTTGAACAGATAATTCCATTGGACATTTAACTTCAAAGCATATACATCTAATATCCAGATTATGGGATTGTTGTGGATTTTGGCAGAAATACAATTGTTAGATTTTAGTCATCTTAACTAAAATTCATTAGACAGATCACTACAAACCAGAAGGGAACATTGGACATTTGTTTCGTCCAATTCTGATACTCCTCATTAGTCCGCATCCACGACCGTATCAACTCGGATCGAACTCACCACCTTTGGGTTACGACATCGAACTCTGTGACTATTCAACCAATTGAGCTTAGTTCTTTGTTAACTCGTCATATAGCTCTGCCTTCAACTTGACATTGTGGACGCTACCGCTGGTTACGATTTCCGAGTGCAGCTTCGAGGAAATCCATCGATGAGCTGGCGGCTGATATTCAGATCACAGGAGTTTTATGGGGATCATGGATTAATGTGGATAGAGTAAAGAGATATTTACTGACATCTGATCCCACGATTACCCATAATCTCGTTGCACGATCTCCTCCACCATACACTCAGCTGGTCGTTTCCCATTCGGGCTCCACTCGATGATGGCCTGCCGCGTGATGTCCCTTGACGGTCTTCTCAGAGTGTGTGTCGGACCCATCACCATTTTCTCCCGCATATTTGTTGAGCAGCAGCTTCTTGATTGGTTCATTTCTAGGGTTTCCTGTTGGTAATTCTTTCCGGCTGGCTGTATGATCTTGAGAATAGGCGAAGGGGTCAGTTGTTGATAAAAGTCTAAATTAGCCTGTTGGAAATGCTTTTGGGGTGATTCGCGATCCCCGTTTCTGACCCATATGACGGACGAGCTAACTGACCTAACATTGATGATGAAAATCTAAAATTCCGTTCTTTAGACTGTGGGCAGAAGATTTGTACACTGATGTGTGAGTAGTGAAGTCCCGATTTGTCTTTTTCGATTTCGGTTTGGAACGTCATCATGCATACCGACTGTAGTTGAAACGATTCTGTCTGGCTAGATAAATGAAGGAGGTGACACCTCTTTCAAATTTATTCCGTTGATAGTGATTGGTGCATTTTGTCGTCGTCGTTGTGGTTGGCTGGTTATCTTCTGTATGTTCACTTGCAGTCTTGTGTTGGCTGCCTGCTTCTACTGCCAGTCTGTTGGTTTTTTTCTCATGTAGATATTCAAGCTTGTGTGACGTTGAATGACGTAAATCATCCGTGAAATCCAGATCCTCTCGAGTATTCCTATGGGTCCAACAAATGCCTATATATGTATAGGTTTGGGTGGTATGCTTGCATTCTTTGAACTTGATATACAGACCTAAATTTCTACGTGGACTTTCACATGTCTGGTTTATTTCTCTCATCCCACTTATTGAATTATAGACATAATTTTCTCTCACCCTAATTACGACCTTCGAAATAAAAGAAACATTCAGCGAAGGAAATTTTCTTTATCGACGAATTCATCTTCAGAGGCTGTACAGTTGTATTTAGATTTACCGAAAATATATAGCAGTCTATTATTGAGATGGCCAAAAGATCAGCAACAGGGATCTTTGGGAGCGAACCAACCAGGAACCGATTGTGAAACAAATAGGCAGGAAGAAATGGAGATGGATTGGCCATACTCTGAGGAAACCATCAAGTGACATCACTAGACAGCCTGAGTGGACAGAAGCGGATTTGTAGACTGAGGAGATGGAAAGGAGAGAAAACGTGTGGGCAGACATGGAGCCAGGTGAAGACTCTAGCAGAGAACGAACGCATGGAGACGCACGGCTGAAGCCCTATGTTCTGTAGGAATTAAAGGATACAATAATATAATAATAATATTGAGTAATAGGGGGTGACGTAATTGATATAATTACTCGGAAGTGGCTTTAGAAGTAAAAAATAAAAGTTGTAAATTACGTGGTACTCAACGGCACAAAGTTAGGAATTTGAAAAGGTTAAAATTGCTATTGAGTGAGAATAAAGGTGGTAGTTGAGTGTCAATTTAACAAGTGTGAAGGGGCTGTGAAAATGTACAAGTGGAACATACGAGAGTGATAATAGTGAATTAATTGATAAAGTGAAAGCAAACTAAAAGTAAAATTGAAAATTCAAAAAAGAGAAAAAAGTTAAAATTTACAGGGAACGACTAGTGAAGAGGTTAAGACCAAGGTGGAATAAGAGACTGGACAAACTTTTTCTGTATACAGAGTTCGGGGTTGTATTGACGAATTGCCAGCGCCTCCGCCATACACAAAAGCCGAAACCTGACGCCCTTCGTACCATTTGGCCTCACCTTGTAGATGATCTTGAAAGACGACTTTGGTGGAGCTGTAAGGTTTGAGTTCATCAAGTGCTGGAAAATTGATCTAGTAATTGTCTTGCCTTGTCCTTTTGCTAACCATGCCGGATAATGTTCAAAGATGCGTTTGGAAAGTGTGCGGCCAATATAACTAGCTCCACACGAGCAGGTGAATTGATAAACACACTTTGAAGTGGCCCAAATCGGCGGCAGTTTATCTTTCACACATCCATTGATCATTTGTCGGCTGTAGAAATTGATCCCTCAGCTCAGCCGTAAAGAAGGCTTGGAGGATATCCATTCTCTATGAGGACTTCTCTGAGTCGCCCCAGTTCGCCGTCAATTGTATCACTGGAACATATCCTTCTTATTCTTGTGGATCAGGTTTCTCTTTCTTCACAAAGGGACCCAATTATGAAAATTCGTGTCCCGACTGTTCCATGTTGGTTTCCTGTAGATCTATCTTCGAGGAGAACTATCAAATCTCCTTTACAAACAAGGAATCACGGAACCTGATGGTCGTATTTGCTCAAATAATTCAGAGCTGATAATCGATTCGTTCTTCATCTTCTTCAGTATTTGTGTTATCTTTCCTTCAATTTGTTCCGTTTGGTCTTTCTGGCTACTTTCTTTTGAAAATTTGTTTTCATCTGATATGGTTGCGATGAAGACATTTCCAGTAGTGCTTGGGATATTCTTTCTTATCAATACAGCTCTTTAGAAAACTGATTCTTGTATTGGCTATGGCAAGCTTGACAGAATACTTAATCCTATTGGTTGTTGACTGTTTCATCAATTGACCAATGTGGTTAGAGTCTTTCAGGGTCATTTAAAGAATACACATACATATACAAGCGCTGTCAATCATGTCCACTGTTGATACGACACAGTAAAAGCTGTCCACTTCAGTCAACCGTCTGGCAGTCTTCGCTTCTTTCCCTCTTGCGTTACATTTTCGGTGGTACTTTATCGTGTCGTCGTTCTCGTTGCAGTAAGTGGTAAGAATAATATGCGGGCGAATCGACTAGAAAGGAAATTCGTTAGCTCAACTACAAGTACATAAATGGTCATGTGAAGAACTCTTAGCCATAAAAAAGTGTCTTAAACCGTGTCTCATCTGTTGAAAAATTACTCGTCTTTACTTTGAATTATACGTGTTGCTAAACCAATTTTCAAATCAAGCTTTGTTTTATGTGAGTGAAGAACTTGAACTCTGAGGTTGAATATGTAATTCCATATATATGTCAGATCAGTTTATTTCAAATATCCTACAGTATTGATGTATACGTAATAATTGAAGGATATTTCGAGCAGAGATTGTTGCTCATAATCGTATGCATTTAGTCACAAGGCTTCACAATTTTCCTAATACACATATATTCTCTATTTCGCCCTCTACCCCTTCCTGTTTGTTGCCACTTTCCATATATCAGGTATAGGCGATGCGTCATTTCGATTTCACGTGTGTATGGTGTCGAATCAATAAGCAAGGATCCAATGATTAACCTCTTTCTCACTCCCCCTAACTATATCACTTTTTTCACTACTTTGACTCCGCCTCACTCTACTTTGTGATTACGTGCAAATGAATGCAGTGCAATGGCTGAGCTGTGTCCTGTCTAGAATACTTAACTTACCAGGGTCAATGATTCTGGGTGTAGCTAAATTTTTATGTCCCAATAATCTGACTGACCCAGATTCACTGGTTTCATCCCCATGTAATTGATTATAATAAAGGTTTTTGTATTTCCCAATGAATGAAAAACAAAACGATATTGTTTTCTACTGACGTTTCGCTATTTAATGCTAATAGGTTTATCAGAGTATTAGAACAATATCGTTTTGTTTTTTTGATTGCACACTAGTGTAATGCATCTAGTCCTATCTTCGGTGCAGACTGAATTCTATCAGTCATGTTTGCAATGTGGCCACCATGCTAGGTGGCTCGGCATTACGGTGCACTGTGAATTGTTGGTATTAGATGGTTGGAGGCAACCGGCAGGAAGCCTTGGACCTAGGTTTCGTGCTAGTTGGCACTCATCAACAGGGCGTATCTGCAACCTTGAAGGAACTGATGTCGAGCCACCTAGCATGGTGGCCGCATTGCAAACATGACTGATAGAATTCAGTCTGCACCGAAGATAGGACTAGACGCATTACACTAGTGGCTGACTAGTGTGCAATCAAAAATATCCGATACAGTCCTACAGGAGGTCAGTCGCGAGCCTGAATAGCTCAGTGGTAACGTCTCTGACTGCAGCACCGGGTGACGCGGGTTCGATTCTCAGAAGGGACATCAGTTCCTTCAAGGTTGCAGATACGCCTTGCTAATGAGTGCCAACTAGCACGAAACCTAGGTCCAAGGCTTCCTGCCGGTTGCCTCCAACCATCTAATACCAACAATATCGTTTTGTTTTTCATTCATTAGGAAATACAAAAACCTTTATTATAATGAATATCATATACCCAATGCCCAAATTTTTTCAAACTGTTAAAAGTGAACTTGGTTTGGGCATATATAACTCACGTAATTGACTTCACAATCATTGTCACATGGTATTTGGTAAATTATATGTGATTTTTCCTAATTGGATCTATTGGGTTGTTAAGCCGACAAGATTTCTCTCTGCGTGAGTTGGTTATTTATTTGGTTTCAATGCCAATCTTACTAAGAATGTAAGTCAATGTTTACGTCCCAAATCTTGGTCAGCAGAAAAAACAAGAACAAGGACTAACTCAACAACCAATCACAGCACACTTTGCGTGGGCGGATACGATTCGCAGATATATGGTCTGACCTTCGAAGAAACGGCCACAATGAGATGACAGAATAACTTTCAGTGAGAAAACAACCAATCAGAAGACGCTGTTTCTCTGCTAGTCATAACGAATAGTAATGCGCATAAGAATATATATACTTTCTCAATAAACGATCTGTTGCCTGGCCCTTGTCTTCTGTCGTTATGATCCTACTAACTTGTTTGTATTTTACGTAATTCTACAGCGTCATTATCATTATTTTACAAATTTTCTGATTATGTGATAACTTATTGCTAACCCCTAGGAATTAACTGGTCTTGAATTCCGTAATTACTTAATTAATTATTTTCACCCCTCCTTCCTTTAAAACTTAAATATCTCGTTACTAACATCTATCAGTTAATTGTTTCGATGAATTTTAACCTCTTGATTTCAGCTGCCCCCCCCCACTCCTATACCTAAAACTGATCGACTAAAATAACCACATGGTGGGTATAATTTTGATGCAAAAATAAACTATATTATTAGTGTAGGGCCGATGATGAGGAACTAATTAAAAAGGTATATATTTCTTCGCTCAATTGGTTGGTTTTTCTAAATGTTTAAAGCAATTATTTCCTCTTATGAATTTCGACAACAAAATAAGAAGACGTAGTTTATCTGAAACGTGTGTAATCTGCGTATTTGCGCAACACATTTCGGACATTCCGACTACACACACACACACACGCGTACTTGTCATACACAGTTTTATAGAAGGCATGAGTCATTACAATACAGGTCAGATTGTGAACAGGTCAAGGTCATGGATAATGGGTAGGGAGATGACGACGCAAAGGTGTGGGTAAGAAAGGAAAAAACAAAGCAATGAAGGGGTTGAATATATATATTATGAAGTAAATTGATCCTTGGTTCTAAATTGGATTACCAAGGCAGATTTAAGGTGATAACAAATAACTTTTGGACATATAAGACAGACAGGTTGAAATCTTTTTTTGACGAAGGCTTCAATGAATTCAAGAGTGTGACCCAACCTTGTTTTATATATGGGCTTAAAGGCATTGTTGAAATCAACCTTATATATAACCTGTCTCTATAATGTACTTCGCTATAGATGATGTTGGACATCTGCTTTCGGAATTAATTGTATCTGGCGATTTTATTTGTTGTTCCAGCCACTTTGGAATATTTTGTGTATCCCTAACCTGCAGAGACTGCAATTAACAGAGAGGAATTCAGTTCACTAAAGCTCACGTAGTCCCAACTACCACACATGTATGCTATGCCTAAAACACAAAAACCTAACATTCCTCTCCGTCCCATAATGCCCATGTGCAGATCCCCAACCCACAAACTTACACAGTGCCTAGTGGAAATATTAGAGCCTATTACAAGAAGCTTCTGTAAGTTCAATTACTCGCTGAGATTTATTAGGCGTTTCGAAACTGTCATCCAAAGAGCTCCACCAATCCAATCAACTCCCAAAAAGGATGTTTACATATCCTTGCCGTTCAGAGGTGATCAACAAAGTCTGGTCACTAAACAAAGACTCAAGGCGGCAACTAATAGAATTTATTATACAGCTAAACTTATCTTCATAGAGAAAACGAGAACTATGCTGTCCTGTAAACCCTCACAGTATCCGAACGATAGTGTTTTATCCCATTGTGTTTGTCAATTACATGTATGTGTGGATATACGTACAAAGGGAGGGCCCATCGGTCTCTGCAGGTTAAGGCTACAGAAAATATCTCAAAAGTGGCTGTAACAACAAATAAAATCGCCAGATACAATTAATTCCGAAAGCAGATGTCGAACATCATCTATAGCGAAGGACATTATACAGACGGGTCATAAGGTTGATTTCAACAATGCCTTTAAGACCATATATATAACAAGGTTGGGTCACACTCTTGAATTCACTGAAGCCTTCGCCAAAAAAAATGACTTCAACCTGTCTGTCTTATATGTCCAAAAGTTATTTGTTATCACCTTAAATCTGGCTTGGTAATCCAATTTAGAACCAAGGATCAATTTACTTCATAATATATATATTCAACCCCTTCATTGCTTTGTTTTTTCTCTTTTCTTTCTTACCCACACCTTTGCGTCGTCATCTCCCTACCCATTATCCATGACCTTGACCTGTATTGTAATGACTCATGCCTTCTATAAAACTGTGTATGACAAGTACCCGTGTGTGTGTGTGTAGTCGGAATGTCCGTAATGTGTTGCGCAAATACGCAGATTACACACGTTTCAGATAAACTACGTTCTTCTTATTGTGTTCAAAGTGTGGATTTGGCAATTCAAGAGAAAAGTGGTCTTCACAAAGAAAGTATTTTATATTTAGAAGCATAATTAACAATACCCATGCACACACACACACATCAACCCTGAGTTCTTTTGGCGTTGTGTATTACAAAATTAGTGGGTTTGAATACATGATGCGTTAATGTATGTATGTGAGTGTGTGTGTGTGTGGAATTTTTGAAAGGCACAGAAGAGTAAAGGCAACAAAATATAGAGGCGCAAAGTGTATACATGCACGGCTGTTGGGTTGTTCAATTGAAATGAACACGCTAGTGGATCTACACATATTCAAGATTGAAGCAAATGAAAGAAAGGCGAAAAATTACGCATAGAGAGAGAGAGAGACAGAGAAGCTGTCATTTCTTTTTCAATCATCATCAGTATCATCATCGTCACCAGCACCAGGATTCCCATCGGCATCATCATCATCGCTATCGTCAGATGATTCATCTCCAGCAATACGTTTAATATAATTGCTTTTAGCCAATTTAATAGTGATTCGTTTCGATGGATCTTCTTTCAATTTTGATTCTAGTATACCTAATTTAGCTAAATGCCATTCCAATTCTATATTAAAAAAAAGAAGAGGGGAGCAAGAGTAATGCAAAATTGATTATACACAGGAACAATGCGATTGTGGGTGTTTTTATGGTAGCGGATTTGGATAAATTTCATTATATTAACCAACCAAAGTGCGTCGGTGGCACAGCTATGCAGGTGGTTCGCGGTTCGATCCCCGGCCACTGTACGCACTCCTCGCTTACCTCGTTACGCCAGTAACAGCACTGGCAAAGAGGGAAGGTTGGGGGCATGAGGCTAGCAACCCACCCGTAAAAATAAACACCTCTGCTATAGAAACTTCAAGCCTGTAGCTTGAATCCCTCTATGTTGCACTGGTAACGTAAAGGAATAACAAAAAAACCAACCAAAGGGTACTGGATACCTATTTCGTCCCAGTTTGGGACTCTTCGACAGCGGGCACATCAACGATTAAACCAGGGATCCAGTAAGGGACTTCCAGGTTACGAATATTAATCTTCAGAGTAGTTATGACTAATAGATGGAAATACTATTTGTTGTCGTTATAATAATAGTCAGTTATGCGGCGGATACTTTTTTATATAGATTGACAGTGAAGAAAAGACCTTTACGTCTACAATTCAGAGGAGATACTTTTGTGGAGATTCTATCACAACGTTTAACTAGGGTGATAAAGAAAACTTCCTATTCGACACATCTGTTCTCCTAGGCTTCAGTAGTCATTAAATGTTCAACCAGTAACTGAAAGATGTTTTGCCTAACCTTAGCTCTTCTTCATGCATATACCATTTCAACTGTTCCTGTGGTTCAAGTTATATAAGGTGCATGATTAGGCAGGTTCGTCTACGGGTTCGAGAATATTTACCAGCTCGGTTCAGCAAGGAGGAAATTAAATGCATAAAAAGCTCGATCCTGTCACACTTGGTCGATAATGGACATCGCATCAACGCTAACACAGCTTTCAGGGTTGCATACTAAATCGCGAAATCGTTATCACGTGGAGTTTGCTTGCGTGTCTCCTGTACATAGCTGAAGGTGTTGCACTATAAGATCGACTAAACCGGAACTTTGTATCTAAAAAGAACACGTCCAGACGCTGTTCCCTACCGTGGCCAAAATTGGATTAACGTTTCTTCTTCTCACCAAGAGTGCTTCTTCCCCTCATCCCTCTTGGTTTTTTTTCTTTTTTTGCATATTATTACAATTATTATTATTATTGTTCTTGCTCGTTATAATTTGTGCCCTTCATTCAAACATTATCCCAGTACTATCGAATTTTCCATTTATACTATCCGGACTTATTATTAGTGATATTATCTCTTTTCTCAATATGTCCCTCCACCTATTTCATTTCATATATTGGTTATTTCATGATGAACCACCTCTGATTGCAGTCTTACTATCTCCTCTTTAATACATACTACTTTGTACTAGCCACTCACCTGACGCCTTCTATAACCTTGAACTGACTTGTCAATTTTTTCCCACCCACACATTGTATAAATCTATTATGATTAATCACCACTGTTGTCTCCCATTTCACAATATCTAGCACGTTTGTCATAAAAAATACTACTTATTTCGACACCCTAATAGATGGATGTCTTGAAGATATACTGTAAAGTAATGACCAGAGGGGTCCACAATGTCAAGCTGAAACGGATTCTTCATCGACAAAAGCATCGGTTGAGAGTAACACTACATATCACACACACTATATCACAAGGAACTCAGAATAGTTAGAATTCACGCGTCACTGAACTCCACCCAAAGTGACTGAATACTCTACGGAGTTGATTTGCAACTGGAAGGTCTTGGGTTCGAGCCCCAGGGGTGCGTACTGGTGAAGAGACCCAAACTAGGACGGAACACCTGTCCAGTAAGTACTCCGTGGTGGTTTTCAATGCTTCTCTAACTAATATCAACCCGCGGGCAATTTAAAAACCTTCTGAAGCCGATTAAGCAAAGTTACAACGATCCCTGGGGACAGTCAAATCATATTCACGAAGAATTCCAAGAAAAGCTCAATTCACAGTGAACAAGGTACTGACGATGTGGTGTTGTCTACAGAAGAGGAATGAAAGCTTAGTATGCACAGCGGTAGAATACTCGCCAATCACGCCTCATGTGGTCCGGGGTTCGATTCCCGGCCAATGTATGCACTCCTTTACCTCGGTAAGCCAGTAATAAGACTGGTAAAGAGGGAAGGTTGGGGGGGGGGCATGAGGCTAGCAACCCCATCCCGTAAAAAATAAACACCACTGCTACAGAAAATTCAAGCCTGTAGCTTGAAGCCCTCTATGTTGCACTGGTAACGTAAAAGAGTAAAAACAAAACCCAGTGCTTACAGAAACTCTACCCACCACACATTCATCGTATTTGTTGGAAGGATAAAAGATTTAAATGTGAACAATAAATTCCTTATTCACTAATATACTACTAATGGAAAAATAGTAGGTTTTATAAACGAAGAGCTTATCAAGCGAAACATCGATGTTGGCGTTTATGTATGTCTTCTTTTAAGATGCGCATAGTATGTTCAGTTGCTCTATTTATAAATAAGGAATTCTACACACAAATTGATGGTGAGATTATAGGATCAATACTAGGACTAGCTAACATTTTCCTTGCAAAATTACAGGATAGAGCTTTGAAAGGTACAATTAATGATCTGCAATTCTATTGTCGTTATAAGGATGACACATTTTTGACTACGGGAAATGAAAATGAAGTGAAGAACATCATCTTTGACAAATTCTAGTGATGTGAACATCACCGAGAGATGAAGAAAGAAACGACAAGTAATTCAAGTTTGTTCATGGAGAACCACTGAAAATCAACTGTTGGGAGTAATGGACATCTAGCTGTTTCATCCTCGTCTAGGAAATCCCTCTTGAACGATCTCATCACAATATTTAAACTTGGTAGGACATTTCAACAAACATTGTAATTTTCACTTATTGGCTTCATAGGGGGATTTATTTGATTGCCTGGAGGATTTCATCATAAGCTGACATCAGTTAGAGGACCATTGGAAAACCAGCGGGGAGTACTAGACTGCTGTTTCGCCCTAGTGCAGGACCCTTTATCAGTACGCACCCATCGGGGTTCGAACCCGGTGGGAAGCCGTGATCAGTAGGGTACAGCAGGTTGAAGGTGAGGCAGTAACTCATCGAAGAAGACATTGCGAAGTGGTCGCACTATGTCGTCAATTGGCAGAAGTTGGAATTCATGGGTTAGCCATTGGGTCGGGCCCAGTGAGTGGCCTAGTGGTCTACGAGCTCACTAGCCTTGCGACCAGAAGATCCTGGGTTTGAAACCCTCTGGTGGGTGTGTATTGATGAAGAGTTCCAAACTAGGACAAAACAGCAGGCTGTCTAATACTCCCTGCAGGTTTTCCAATGGTCCTCCAACCGATGACAGCTCACGATGAAATCCTCCAACTAACTTCGTTATTATTATCCATCCTTCTCTTAGACAATATATCATTGTGCTGAAACTTGCATATCACAGCTTGACTTGATCCCCATTATTTGTCTTTATCCCTGTTGAATCTCTAATTTTGATGTTTCTTTTTGTAGTTGTATGATAGTGATATTGACGATGTGTTGTTTTACAACTGCGATTTAATTTAAGTGAGTGAAGGTCACTCTGATTGTCTTCGATTGCCTACTGAAAGCGTCGGTCTGTGATTCCTGTGGACAGAGTTTTTGATCCCACCTTGTCGGGGATATTCTACTTAATTCTAAGTATTTACTGTGTAAATAGATCATTCTCTCGCCTGTACACCAATGCATCGGTGGCACAGCGGTTAGGACACTAATCGACCATGCACATGGTCAGGGGTTCGATCCCCTACCGACGTGCACCTGATATCAATGATCCGTTTGCTAAATATGGGCTACCAATATCACATGCTACAAATTCCACACTTGGTCCAAAAATACTTTGTGGAATCAAGCTATAATAAAAATAAAAAAATCACTGTTGAGGTAATTTTGAGTATTCGATGTTACCATGGTTGTAGAAAAATAGAACCATACAACGAATTTATCAACGAATAATCTTTTAGCCATATTTGGAGCGTTTTTATGACTAACTGTGAGTCTGTCTCAAGAAAGTTTTGGGACTGCTATATAGTAAGATGCAAAGATCGGTTCTCTGCGTTCATTCAGACCACAACGAGTCCATTTAATTATCAGTTTTATATCTCCCAATGCACTTTCAATGGTATATATATATGTCTGTAAGTGGAGTATTCAGCTGAAGAGTCCTGCTGAATTTTCTATCAGAAAACAACTGTCTCTAAACTCTTAAAACAAAAATAATTATCCAACTACTCTGTAATTAGCCAATTATTAAACTCACTTTTTACAGTAACACTATTCCCACCGACAGCATTAGGACCAATCAACTGTTCTTTCAAATCACCAGATTTATAGACAAGAAGCGATGGTAAATTACTCGATGGATAATTCGGTATGCATAAACATGATTCACCGCGGAGGAATTTCACTGTAGGAAATTTTTGTGCCAATTTTCTCAAATGATTGTCAATTAGACTACACAGAGCATGACTGAAGAAATAGATGAAAGAAAAAAACACAAGAGTATATACATATAATGAAGAAAATTGCCTGCCTACAGAAGATTATGATGAGATTGATCTAAGTGAAAAAGCGTCGATAATTCAATCGGTGAATGATAGCCAGCCTATTCGTTAGGTGTTTCGGTTTTGTATACCGAGTTAACATGCATAGTATGATTGCAACGACAGAAGACAAGGCCAGCCAGGCAACAGATCGTTTGTTGAGAAAATCAACAGATATTTATATATTTTTATGTACATTAATATTCGTTATTACTAGCAGAGAAACAGCGTCTTCTGATTGGTTGTTTTCTCGCTGGGAGTTAATCTGTCGTCTTTTTGTGGCCCTTTCTTTGAAGGTCAGACCATATATCTGCGAATCGTATCCGCCCACGCAAAGTGTGCTGTGATTGGTTGTTGAGTTAGTCTTTGCTCTTGTTTTTTCTCCTGACCAAGATTTGCGAAGTAAACATTGACGTAAATTGCTGTCTATCAATTTTGGCCATCACACAGCTCTCACCACATGAGGATGAGAAATATTGAGTTTAGGAGTTGTAGAGTGCTAGGGAAGGTGGATAGGTCAATCAATGAGGTTTATATGTGAAGCTACATCGATTTAGATGGCTAGGAGACGTGTTACACAAGCTGAGCTGTCGCCTTAGTCGACGAGCTATGTTGGTTAGCTGACATTATTTTGTTAAGTTGGAAAAGAGTTAGACGTGGTCAAACTAAAATCACAGGACATTTTTCCTCCATACAGGAGTAAATACTTACAGTATGAATGATGCAACATCTATAATAGAGTGAGTAATATTGAGGTAGGGAAGGAGTGGAAATCAATCGACAACATTGTGAAGTTACATAGATTCAGATGGTTAGGAAATGTGTTACGCATGCATCCCTAGACCAGCCATCGCCTTCCTCAACCAACGGGTAATATTTGCTGACATAGGGCTAGCTGGGTTGGAAAAGAGCTAGCACATGGTGGTCAAACTAAACTAAAACATGGCTTCATCAATCGATGAAATCCTTGTTACATTATAGACAGCGTACCCGGAGGCCTAGACCAAAGCAGGTGATTTTCTCGAGACGTCACCCTCTATCCCCTGCACCGAGTTTTTTTAATTTGAAATCCAATCTGCAGAGCAGTGTGGAACAGAGTTTCCATGATTTTCGGTAATACAAACAGGTGCATACGCCACTCAACCCGTTAGGATTCTCGCGCCCATGTACACCATAGGTTCGGAATCAGGGTTAGTTTTCCAGATCTCCTGGGTGGACTTGCATGTCCACATGTCCGGTTCTAAGCACCAGACGTTTGCGATTAGCCTTTCATACCCCTACCAAGGTGTGAAGGCAGTGAATAGTATAAATTATCTGCCACTGGCTTTGAACGCGTGGTTACATGATAGAGCACTTCGGCAACAAGAGCCACTTTAAGCCGTGCTAAGTTGTTTATGGAAGTTAGAAACCCTTAATAGAACAAGCACACTTCCATAACCCCATCATACTATAGTTTGACCTAGCGTATGCCTTCAGCTACGGATTTTATTAACTCGAATATATTTGGTATTAAGTTATTTGTTTTATAATGGACAGATAACCTGATTCTTTTTGGTTTCTAAACCTTCCTAACAAACTAAAACCCACAGGAAAGACTTTTAAATCAATTGCCCTACAAACTACAACCATACAGTATCCATGTATACTGTCTGTCTGCTTTCAACATAGAACTCTGCATCGATGTGCACCAGTTCAAGTCGCCACACTCCTTCCTTGTAGCACACAAAGCAAGAGAAAAAGGTAGAAGAAATGCATTATAGAAACAGTAGACAGGGATATGAGACAAAGGTACAGTAATAACGAAGAACAATATAGTTTCATTGGGTATTATAAGTCAAAAGTAGTGGATGCATCTGCGCCAGCCATATCACCGATTGTCTCTAGCATTCATTGGTGTTTACCGTCCCGAGGACCCCAACCACTCAGTCAGTACAGTCTACACCTTTCTATGTGGCGGGTTTAAACTAACTGTTGTGGATTTCATTGACTGACAAGACCATGTTTCGGTTTGACCACCACTAGCCCTTTTCCAACCTGATCCATTCCATGTCAGCTAACATTGGTCATTGTCGAGGAAGGCGATGACTGGGCTAGGGATACATGCATAACACTTGTCCTAACCATCTCAATCGATGTAACTTCACAGCCTCGTCAATTGATTTGCCCAACCCTCTTTACGGAGCACTCGACCGACTGCTAACCTCAATATTGCTCACCCTACTATACCACCTAACACGGGAGATAGAACGCAGACACCTACGGTCAGAGACAGCTATCTGGTTTTTTCATGTCTCCCACTTTCAATGGCCATGTCTCACTCACAGCCATAAAGGAGGACGGAGAGGACTGCTGAGCAGTACACACGACCTTTAGTCGATAGCCAGCCACATATCACGTCTACTAAACCAAAGAGGGCGTAAACTAACATATGCGGAACTAGCCCTGTGTATCCCTGCAGAGATTTCGTTAGAGATCAACCCCACAAATAAGTGAAGCGGTCAACGTGCTCTACCACTTCACTCCCTATTTCCACGTATACATTTTAAAGTACACCCCGCCCCCCGCATTGTAGAGTATGAAATTATAAAGACTGCTTAGCTTCACTTACCCTTTTTCACTAATATGAACAATGACAAATATATCATCACCAGCATTTGTCACTTCTGTTGTCCAATCAGCTTTGGTCACTTCGCGTACACAACCAAATCGGGGTTTTGATGCTTCTTCTTTCAGCATAGCTATCCGCTTGCGTCGATATTCCTCTAAGAAACGTGCCTCCTCCTCGTCAACTTCACCATCTTCTAATAAATCGAATTTCTCATCTAATTCATTTGATTTTAAATTGTCTAAAATGGTTTCTAGATTAAAAGGTAGTAAAAACAAGTAATACTGTGTTACTGCTGGGCTTCGCCGCTAATCGATAGATTTTTTAGTTAGACCAAGAACTTCAGTCAGTTAGATAAGTATTAGAAACCAGAAAGTATGAGATGATTGTATCATTCTAGTTTAGAATTCTTCAGAATTATGCCACTAAGAGTTGAATCCACAATGGTCAGACTATGAGACAAAGCTCGTTTGACCATTCACATTCAATATAGTCAAAATATTCATTCAGACATCTATAAAACACAAAATAATTGAGAAAAAAAGTATCCTTTTCGATAATTTCCTCTTCTGGCTCTACATATATATATATATATATATGTATATGCATAGAATATTCTAGAATAGTAGTCAATAACAATATTAGTGTTTTTTAAATAATATCGATTTGTTGAGTAAGTTCAATGGAATTACAGTTCATTAAAGATGCATGAATAATAATAATAATAATAATAATAATATATAATAATAGCAAATACAATATCAACCAAAATTAAGGAAATTTCTACAAAAATTAGGGATCGTTAAAACCTTGATGGCCAAGGTGAGGACAATGTCTGAAACAACATAAGTTGGGCTTCTGAATGTGTATCTCAACAGCCAACCTCAGTAATATGTAATAGACGAACTCTTCAGGCGAAGTTAAGATTTGTTGGTATGCGGTAAATGAATTTGAAAGCTGCCTCGTTAACATCAATCTTGTGTTCTGTTTCCACAAGATGAGATAGAATAGAGCTATGAATGGATTTTATTGGTCCCTTACTCAACTAACCACACAAGGTGATGTTCGGAAATCCCACGAGAAACACGCCTAATTATACAGCTGATGTAACTGGCTCCGCAGGAGCAGTTAAACTGCTCGATACACATGGAAGAGGCGAAATTAGGCAGTTTATCTTTTACTCTCGAGAGCAAAAGAGGAGTGGCTTTGAAGGCAAAGCGTAATTCAGCAGCAGGGAATGCTCTTTTTACCGTATTTCTAAGGTGTTGTGTTAGTACCTACTTGATGTTATCTCCGAAGAAATGAATTTGTAAGAATAAGGCCTTTTTAGGAACTGTTAGTACCTTGGGCTGCTTGGTTTTTAATTCATATTCTTATCAACAAACTTTTCGGGATAACCATTTTCACTCAGCAATCGTTTAACATTATTAAGTTCCTCATCAAGACATTCATCCAAGCAGATTGCTCTGTGAACCAAGCATTTTATCAAATTGCGTTTGTATTTTAAGGGCAAGAAGCTGAAAAAATGAGTATACTGATCAGTTGATGTAGGTTTTCTACATACACTTCTTCTTATTGTGCCATCCTCTTTTCTGGTCATAAGGACGTCTAGAAATGAAATACTAGAGTCTTTTTCTTTCTCAATAGTACAAGTTATTGCAGGATGGACCTTGCTAAATTTATCCAGGATGTTCTTTGCTTCCTCCTCATTTTTCAGAATAAAAAATGTATCATCATCCATTTACCGACAATAGAATTCACATTCAGCCACTTGGTTCATGTGAATTCCTAATCTCTAACATTTCATGGTATATATGCCGCTACCGCCAACCAATGTCACTGGTAAGTATCCAAATGACAAAGACCTCGTGCTGTAACAACAGAAGACAAGGGCCGGGCAATAAATCGCTTATTGAGAAAATCAAGAGGTATTTATATACTTTTATATGCATTATTATTAGCGTTATTGTTGTAGGAGAAACAATCTCTTCTGATTGGTTATTTTCCTGCTCAAGGTTATTCTGTCATCTCTTTGTGGTCGTTTCTCAAAAAAATCAAGCCATATACCTGTGAATCATATTTCCGCACTTTAACTCCGCTACGATTAGCTGGTGATTTTCTCAATGTTAAGCTTCGTTATTGTTTTTCTCATGACCCCGACTCGGGACGTGAACATTGACGTAAATTGTTGTCTACAATTTTGGCTTGCAGATAGCTCTCATCACAGAACTAGAACTCCAGGAAACCTCATCCGATATTCAGTCCATAATGAGCACAGTCATCAAAAATAAGATACGGATTTTCAACTCCAATGTGAAGTCAGTGCTACTTGACGCGTCATAAAGAGCACATCAAACAAACTACAGACCTTCATTAACAGCTAGCTGTCTTCGCTCAATACTCAAGATCAGATGACCGGTCAGAAAAGATCAGCAACAGAGATCTCTGGGAGCGAACCAACACAGCAGGAACCAATTGTGAAACAAATAGGCAGGAAGAAATGGAGATGGATTGGCTGGCCATACTCTGAGGAAACCATCAAGTGACATCACTAGACAAGCCATTGCTCCAGTGGAACCCGACCGAAAGGGAAGCGGCGAGTTGGTCGTCAGTGCAAGGGTGACTTGGAGGAGGTCATGTGAAGAGGAGATGAAAACGTGTGGGCAGACTTGGAGCCAGGTGAAGACTCTAGCAGAGAACTGAACATATAATGGAGACGCACGGCTGAAGCCCTATGTTCCTCTAGGAATTAAAGGAAATAATAATAATAATGAGCACAGTGGATTTTCAGGTGGTGTCATGGGCGTGCACTGCACTATCGAAGAGTCCAGTACTCTCTAGTTTCCAGAGCTTCTCAAACTGATATCACTATGAGATACGGTTTAAAAATATCGTAATAAATTAGTTTTCAGTCAGGAAAAATAAATCGAGTGAAAATAATACTGATTACTGAACAGAGAATACTCTTTTCGATAACTTCCTCTTTTCCATGAGGTTCCACAGATAATATCCATCTAAATAATATCAAATGGTTGACACAGAAATACCAAAAGTTATATGCAAACAGATTTGAAATCATGGATGAATAGGTTCGAGTCTCAGCGGGAGGGGACACCATCAGACACTGGGGGAATGCAGGTGTGCACTTCCAACTTCTACTAATTCGCCAATTTAGAGTAACTGGTACCATCCAATGTCATCGGTGGAGAGTATTTATCCCCACTCACGACCGGGTGGATCCCACCGACTACAACTTCTCACCGGAACTCAAGGTAACTTTGTTCTGCAATCAGCCAGTCACTGGTGAGCATCAGATCAATTTTCAAGAATCTGTGACTGACTGCAGGACGAAGTTGCTTGGAGTTCTAGTGAGAAGTTTTGACTACCATCCTGAGACCCCTAACCAGTCATTCAGGCGGTGTACACCTCCCTACGTGACTGAGCTAAACTTACTGTTATGAATTACATGGACTGATGAAGCCATATTTTGGTATGACCGCTATGTGCTAGCTCTTTTCCAGCCTCATTCATCGTATATCAGCTAACATTGCCCGTCAGTCAAGGAAGACGATGGATGGGCTAGGGTTGCATGCGTAACACATGTCCTAACCATCTCAATCTATGCATCTGCTTCACAACCACCCTCCCTCTTTACCTAGCACTCGACCGATGCCTAACCTCAATATTACCCAACTTATTATACAACTTAACATGGGAGAGAGGACGCAGACACCTGTGATCAAAGACAGCTAGCCTTTTCGTATCTTCCACTTTCAATGGCCATAACTTACAACCAGCGAAAAAAGGAGGATAGGGTGAACTTAACTTTATATAGATGAATGATTGTATCAAAAACACGGAGAGAAAATGGGGTAAAAGTTTGCGTATGTGTGTGTGTGTAAGACAGTTACTAAGTTTAAATAAGAAAGTAAAGGTACAAGTACAAAATAATGCTGTTCATAGTAATAAGTATTATTTTCAAGTAACGGTTATTTTGTAGGGATTTTGTTTGATTGCTTGGAGGATCTCATTATGAGTTGACATCAGTTAGAGATGTTTTGATCATCCTCGTTGCAAGCTCCATCCTGACTCGGGGTTATGGTTAGAATAGAATTGAGGTAGAGGTATGATTAAGGTTAGAGTAAAACTTGCTACGAAAATTATAATGAAAAGCATTTATTTGTTGTAATGCTGAACAGCGATCTGATTGGTCGGTCGACTCAAGGCCATTTCACGGTGTGGTGTATATTCTCTACTGTGTTGTCGGATACTTCCTTATTCACTACTCGTCAGGTTTTCTTTGAAAATAATACGGAGTTTCCTGGAGTTCTAGCTAGAAGTTGTGACTAGTGAAGTCCAACCAGTTAAGTGTGAGGATGGATTTCCCACCGATGACATTGGTTGGTGGTCGTGCTAAATCACGAAATGGTAGAAGTTAGAATTCGTGGGCTGGTCATTGAGTCAGCTGCTGCCAGTGGCTGAATGGTATACGAGCTTGCCTTGTAATCGGAAGGTCCTGGGTTCGAACCCCCTGTGCAGTGGATGCGTACTTCCGATGATTCACAAACAAGGATGAAACAGCTATCCAGTACTCCAGTACTGGTTTTCAATGGTTCTCTAACTGATATCAATCTGTAGTCAAACTCGTAAAAAGCAAAATTTAATCCTTACAAACCACCTTTTGAAAACAAACAATACTTACTGGGATCAGGAGGTGGAGGAAGTTCTTCTTCTGGTTCCACCTTTTTAGGTGGTAAAATTCCTTTTTGACGTAAAATATCATTCCATTCCGTATCAGCATTTGGATCCTATCCAAAGGTAATTGTGAGGTGAGGTGAGGTGAAAAAAAGCCGAACAATGACAAACCTCCATTTCTTTTTGTTTGAAATGAATAAAGAGCAATCAACGTTTGTTTGCTTTCTTTCAATTGAAGAAAAGAAGAAGTTTTTGTATGATAATTTTACTTCTTAACGTTAATTCAAGCGAACATATTCATCAGTATACCTGTAATTAGACAAAAACGCAGAAAATTACCAGAATGTAAACCGTTTTACTATACAGGAATATATATATATATATATTGTGAGCCATTAAAAATCTTTACAAGAAGTAAATTGGATTGTTAACATAAGTATCTACGTTTCAACATAGAACTTGGTACAGAAGTTTAACAGTTCAGCTAAACCCAGCTACTAATCTCTTATAGCCTGATATTTAACCCAATAGTCATTTGTCTTTGACAAAGAGTTCGGTGAAGACGTCTTTTTTGTGACTATTTGATTCGCTACAGTTGTACAACCAAGAATGTATAGTTCAACGAAATTAGCGCCCCTACATTGAAAAGTATACCTATACGCAAAGGTTATTTTATTTGTAGAAATTACAGTGATATTAAAACAGGGGAAAACGCAAAAGTATACAAAGTGAACATATGCTGAGGCGACTGTTGAGTTACATTACACTCCAGACTGTCGAGTAGCACCCTAATGTGAAGCAATGAGTTACTCTAGGGTTACAGGTTGACTCGAAGGAGATCGTGTCTGACTGACTGAATGGTTCCAACGTACTGCACAGATGTACAGCAGTTCCAGTCACCACACTCCTTCCATGTAGCACACAAAGTAAGCGAGGAGAGTAAAGAGAGACTCAAAAGAGAGATAACAGACAGAGATGTGAGGCAAAAAGAACAGTAATATGGAGTAACAATAGATTTTATTGAATATGATAAATCACAAAGAGCGAATGCATCTGCACCAAACATTGACCACGATTTTCAGTTACATCACCAATTGTTTCCAGCCTTCATTATTTTTTACCATCCCGAGGACCCCAAGCAGGAAGGCAGTCTACACCTCCCCCTGTGTGGCTTAAACTGACTGTTATCGATTTCATTGGGTGATGAAGCCATGTTTTGGTTTCACCACCATGTACTGGCCCTTTTCCAACCTCATCCATCCCATGTCAGCTAACATGGCCCGTCAGTCGAGGAAGGCGATGGCTAGGCACGCGTAACACATGTCCCAACCATCTGAACCGATGCATCTGCTTCACAACCTCGCTGATAGACTTTCCCTCCCTCCCTACCTAGCACTCAACCGATGCATAACCTCAATATTACTCACCTTATTCTACCACCTAACACGGGAGATAGAACGCAAACACCTATGATCAGAGACAGCTATCTGGTCTTTTCATGTCTTCCACTTTCAATGGTCATATCTCACTCACGGCCATAAAGGAGGACGGAGAGGACTGCTGAGCAGTACACACGCCCTTTGCTCGATAGCCAGCCAGATATCACGTCTACGCCAGAGACGGCGTAAACTGGCATACGCTAAACGAGCCTTCCGTATCCGTGCTGAGATTTCATCAGCGATCAACCCGTTGGCGCTGGCTGATGCAACTTCCCCACAAATAAGTGAAGTGGTCAACACACTCTACCACTTCACTCCCTATTTCTAAGCTATGAGTCAGTCGGTGTAGTCCAGTCCTGTAGCATCATCTTACATTTGTCGGGACTACATGGACATTTTAGCTATGTGAAAAATCGATAAAAACACCTTTAAAATGAATGAGATTATAAGTAATCGTCAGATAACTGACTAATTGACTGAGTTTCAGCATACAACTTTGCACAGAAGTGCAACAGTTCAACTTATCACATTTCTTATTGGCACACAATGGTAGATAAAGAATGGGGAGAAATGAGATTAGACAGAACTATAATGAACACAAATCTCCGGGAGTAAATAACTACACGTGGGGGGGAATTGAAGTTTTAATGGATACAGGGGATAACAAAGAGTGCTGCTGTTGCTTCCGTAGTTTTCAGTGCACACAGAGTGAAGAGGAAGTGAAGAGCCATTAAGTAGAGGAGTTGCATTAGTAGAAGCAAGGAAAGATAATAGAGATGAAGATGAAGACAAAGGTGAGTGAGGATTAGAGAGGTTTCGCGTGCACTTCGGATTGTGAGGGCGATTGTTACTTCCCGGCTGCCCACACCGTGGAAGTTGGTTGCGTAGAGCCCAGGGGACAACTGCTTGAGGCCGGTCACACACGGCCTGTTTTTGTTTGTTGTTTTTCATTTGGTGTGTCTCAGTAGCGTATTTATCACTTCTGCCCTGTGACACGGCAGCAGAAAGCGCGGTCGTTGTTAATCCGGGCCCCGACCGATCCGGCATGATATTTTGTGATTTATTTGAAGTCATAGGATTGGATTGGGTAACTGCTTTTAGTCTAACCGCTATCCAAACAACCTTTCTGGCATGGTAGGACCTGCAGGAACATAAGTTCTAGCCAGTATAGCTTGTTGGGTCATTGCGGTGTTCAAGCCCGACCACCACGTCAAGGTAGCAGCTTTCTGTCGGGATAACAAAGAGTGAGCGCATCTGTACCATTGAGAACGATTTTGCTCATCGGGTTTGCATATCGTAATGATTTAAAGCGTCACACTGGCTGGAACTAACATTCCTGAAGGTCTTATCATGCCAGAAATGTAGATTGGATAGCGCCTAGACAAAAATCAGTTACCGTCAATGCAACTTGTTTACACTACGTTGAGGATCTGTGACAAGTCGTACTGTTGCTAGGTAACAATAGTAAGGTGTTTCATTGAAATGAACACCAAACCATCTATGGTTTTATCTCCGTTCTGGAGTAGTAGTTGACCCTGAAAATTGTACACCTCGACTTACCCTGAGGCAGGCCGTATTCAGCGGTAAGATCTTAGTACAGATACAACTCTAAAAACCACTAAAAACAGACCAAGCAGATGTCCCTCTGGGCTTCACGGTTGCACAGCACTAATGTTCCTATTTCAGGTAGCTTAAGAAAAAACCAACATCTATGGTATAGGCGGCTTGATTAGTGCTATACATTTACGGAGTTAAATGCACATAAAACGGAAACACACAGCATAAATTTGCATATAGAAGAAACCACTAAAAATATAAGAATAACAAAAATACTAATACTAAAAATACTAAAAAAAACTATCTTGCAATAAACATTCAATACTGTTCATATGAACTGTGATCAAGATTTGACCGGATAGTTGCAAAATAATTGAGCGCTGAGTGAGAAGTAGACATTTACAAATATAATTTTATAAATTCAATACTGTCACCCATGATTGGCTGTCTGAGACTGAGTTTTCAACGAAGAACTTTCCATAGAAGTCACCACACTCAATATAGCATAGAGAATAACCATTCAAGGGAAATATAATGAACAGAACTGTACAGGATACAGGACAAGCACGTGGAGACTAATGAAAATTTGATGACTTTCGGATTTTAACCGTACCACCAAAGGAAGACCTTGAGACATATAACACCCAAGTCTCCAGACAATAATTCTTAGCTCCACTAAGACACTAACCAAGCAATCTTCACCTCCTTATGTGGCTAGCTCAAACCAGCAGTCAAAGACTTAACGAGTCGCTCGTACCTGATAACCTGAGGAGCAAGTCACCAAAAATCTGTCCTACAAACTACTCGCTTTGTAGTTACCAGACTACATATAATAGCTGACCTTACAATTTTTGAAAACTCATTGCCAATGGGAACGCATTATCTAAAATAAGGTGTAATACTAATAATGGTCTTTCACATATCATGAAGACATCTTACAAAATAACAGGCCTAGAAAAGAAGTTATACAGATTATCCATTTAACTAGGTTTTGCTTCTTAAAGATATACTACGCCTTGTGATACTGCTTATATTTCTAGGATGGGAAAGTCTTTTCAAAATATAGATGTCTAGTAGCATAGTGTGTAAAAATTTAAGGTGACACAGGCAAAAACCTTAAAAGGATAATTCAGCAGATGAATGCCATGTCAGGAATTAATCCAAATGAGATATTAAGGTGCTGAAACTTGTTAATGCAATAAGTTTGTCGGAAAAGGTCAGTTGTCGGTGTTACAATTTAAATAAAAGGCCTTTGTAGCTTGATACGAAGAAAATAGTGTCAGTGAACTGGTTGGTCTACATGAATAGTCTACACATTACTATATCTTTTATGACTGGCGTTAACCTTTGTACGTGAATCGACTGTCAGTTGCCTTTTCCTTCATTACGTCATTGATTTCCCCAACTTGATGAATGGAGAAGACACCGAGCCGAGTAGGAAATGTGTTCAGAAACAAGATCCAAAATTACAATCAAAAGGTAGGAATGTGGCACGTAATAATAAAATTCAAGAAGGATAATATTATCAGTCGTATTGTTACTCGCAATTCGAATAAGGTAAATTTTGACTTCTCAAATCGCCGGCTCCATATTCGAGTAACTTGTCAATGTTACCTTAACATTCCTTGTAGGGATAGTAGACCACGGGGTTGATATATATATATATATATATATATATATATATATATATATATATATATATATATATATATATATATAACGGTTACCTTCAGCTTGGAAAACTGTATACAGGCATCCGGCCATGGCCAAAAAATGGCTCATACTTACTGGGAAGAGTAAAGTTGAACTCCCTATACGACAACCAGTTAAAAATCCATGACAGGACCGATTTAATACGAGGTGAGAAACTTCATATCATGTCGTTGGAAGGTTTGACTACGATGTTCAGAATTAATGATTTCATTTCTCTTCTCCCCCTCTTCCCACTTAAGGACAGCCTATACAATGCGGTGTGAATTCAACATCTGAGAGAACTACTAGTTTGCCCACTTGGTGACAAACTCATAGAATCTTCTATAACTTCTTAAGAAGTGACCCCTTCTGAAAGTTCGACATCTGAGACTTTAATTAGCTGGCTGAAGCAAAAGATAAATAGAATTCTACTTTAGACTACAATCCTGTCTACGCAGTATTCCTGCTACCTATTAGGTACATACATCTTGATTCCCTGCTAGGATTTGTGTACGTTTTTAACACACTTTAACTAAGTGCAGAGAAGTTTTAAGTAAAAATAACTAGCTGTTGATGTCTGCAACGATCATAGTGCAAACACTTTCAAAGCTAATTTTGAGTAGAAACAAATATTATCAAAAACTACCATTCAAGCAACGTAACGTACCCACTCGGATACCCGCCAAAATGGTTTACTTACTGAGGTCAATTTATTTCGAGTAATGCTTTTCTAAATTATCCATGACTGGTCCTTACTGCGTTAATATGTCGAAATGCGCGAGATATTGATAAAAATGTATGTGAAGTTCCTAATGTCGGTAGTAAAACCACCGAACAAAGATAACTCTGACCTGAGGTTTATTGCTCTATTTTCTGAATTTTCCTTAAAGGAGAGGAGTGAAATATCGGTACTCTCCATTCCTTGGAATCCTTTGCTTTACTGCACCATTTCCTGGTCTACGGTGTTGTATTGGAAGTTATTCGACACTTTAGGTTCAACGTGTGACACGTAAGTTCTATGAATGTTACGTGTGACTGTGCTTTTGACTCTTTCTGACAATCTTTATGACCTTATAGATGAGGATTCGTTGCAGGTTTCAAGCAATAATATAAATGAAGTGAGATGGCTATTAAGTTTCTACTAACTTTGTTCACTTAGTCGTTATAAATAGTAAACGTCTTATATACTGCTACTAATGCATTGTTGCCTCCATTGATACAAAGTAGAAACTATCCTGAATGGTTTAACCGTTGTTTCTTACATGAAGAGTCTACACTTAATCTTTTTCTTCAGTCCTCCCCCTCATATTTTATTAATCCACTCATAGAGACATGGTAATTCGTTTGTTTATAAACTCAGAAAAACACGCTAAAATACCTTGCGTTGCACTGTTCTTGCATAGTATTTGGAGTGAATTATTACTATGATTCATTTGCCGAAGAGAAACTCCCTGAATAAACTGGTTTTTCAACGATTCCAGAAACCCCTGTTTCTGCAAAAAGTCTGTTATAAGATTCCCTGTTAAGGGCCAAATTCAAGCTAGGGTTGAGTTTCTGTGCAAATAGGGTTTCCTAGATGACGAAAGCAATCATTTGAGCTGGATTACATTTTAGTGCCCACCACATAGTCCAGAGAAGTTTCCCACCCTAATCTTTCTACTCTACTTTTGACACTTAGAGGAATCAAATTCGATACAGAAAGTCTTGTTTCCACATTAGTACTGAAGTGCTGTTGTGTGAAGGAATATATCATATTTCTTCCCTTTCATTCATTTGTCTCAAAGCGGGTTAAATACTGAAAAGTGTAATGGTAACACAAACAACAAAAGCTCAGAATTTTTTCCTGCAGCCTTAAAATTTTATGTATGCCGGGAGGAATGATTGCATATTATGTGTGTACTGTACTATGGTAAAAATGTACTTATTTCGCGCATACCTGAAAACTGTTAGTCATGCGCTTCGGAACAACAAATGTATCTCCGAAATTCCTGGATCAGTGCTGATAAGTCGGGATTCCTAACTTGATAGCTAGAGATCTTGCAGAAACAACAGTATATACTACCTCCGCATGTAGAATAGCAAGAGTGATTAACTGCGTATATTTAGCTAATGGTGATGAGGCTATAAGCTTGTGAACATACTTATTTATTTACTACTATGGCTCCACCTAGTTTACTAGATGAACCATGGTCTAGAAAAGCAGTAAGATTGGTCATAGGGTTAGCAATCCAAACCAGGTAAAAACCAACCTCCTCGCTACTGAAACTTTGGAGTACATAGAGACTTGGAAGATTCTTCAATTTGAGGATGAAAAATACCAATGAGTGAAGGCTCTCAAGAGGCTGATTTCCTTTTGATAAAACCCTAGGTAGGCATGGTACAGTCATAGAACGAATAACGCTCTGGAAAAACGTACTCGCAATCTTCAACCAAAGTCCAAAAAGAAACCAAGTTGTTCCAAATAGACCTAACTGAATTCAAAACAAAAATTAAATGATCCCAAATATAATTATGTGGATGAAAGACTACTGAAGAACTGCAATCTTAGTGTTTTATCAAACTAAATTTATCAGGAAAACGTAGCACAGTGGTATTCTGTCATCCAAACATCAAGAACACAAAGTCTGGACACCAGATGGCTCTCACTTAACAAAAATGTGCAACAGTCCAGTAAAGCACAAACAGTCCAAAACAAGTGAGAAAGGGCGTATAAAGTACAACTTTAGTGTTTTAAAGTGAAAATATCAGACGTAACAAAGTAGTGTGGTATGGAAGATTCTCAACATACTTGAGACTGCGAAGGCTGATCAGGTAGCAGAAAGAATGGAAAAATACGGTTTAGGAGTATTAGAAATTTCCGAAAATAGATGCAGTGAAAACAGGGATCAGGTTTACTGCCGGTTATCATTAAATTAAATCAAAGTGTATGGGTAAAGACGATGTTTGAAAAATTGTGGATAGTGTTACATTATCGGGAAGACTAACAACTTATTGGTTAATTGGCGAATAATCATTTGCAAATAAATGATATAAAACAACATACACTGTATACGTAGACCCCCTAAAAAGCTATACAACCTTGAAGTGAAGTTACGAAAAGAGATCTCGTTTTCTTATGTGCTCTTACTCATACAGTACTGCGCTCCTACGAATAACTCAGACCAAGAGAAGCAGTTCCCCACACAAATAAAGACAGAAGAAGACAAAACACCAGGCGGTGACGTCGAAATTCTAATGATTGATACGAATTCCAAACTAGGGGCAAGTGATGTAGGGAGACAAACATCAACACCGAAGAAGCCAGTTAGTGATGTTGGAGGGAAGCTAATTACCAAAGAGATAAAACTAAGCATAGTGGTGCTGGCCATAACAGAGGGCTCTGGAATTTAAATATCAGATAGGGCCGACTTAGAACTATACAAGTAGTAACACGGAAACATGATCCTTTGTGCCCAAGCAAAACAATAAACGCATCATCCCTTGCTAGTTAAACAATCATTCTCGCACAAAGATTTTGATTTCTGAGTATATTTCGTATTCTGGAGGTCAGTCTGGTATTTTGATTTGCCTTCGGTCTGCGCAGAACAAATACTTCAGGAGTTCGGTAGGACAAGAGCTTGTATCGGTATACAAGTTACTTAACGTAAACCTCATCTCCATTATCTCCCAAAAATTAATTGTAATATTTATTTACTAAATGTTATCTAATTAGCCAGTTACGTTAAAGCATAGTTCTGGTGTTCACAGAAAGTAGGACGTATACCAACGCCAGTCCTCATACCCACAACGCCTACATTATTTGTTCTGCGTAGACCAAAGGCAAGTCAAAACACCAAATTGACGGTTCAGAATACAAAATATATTTCCGGGCCAAAGATTTAGCACGATTTTGTTTATTAGCTAGGTAGGAATCGTGCACAAACGAACATAACGCGACAGCATGGCAAATAGCGTAGAGGCTTGATCGCTATCCTTCAGCTAAATGAGTCGACTTAAACGGTGAAGGTCCGCATCCAATTTTGGGTGAAGAATGCTGCAGACTAATAATTTTGGAGTAATATTTTCCACTACAAGGGTCTCTGGAAGACCAGTTAGGAAAACTACTTAAACAGATCCTAGCTCGTTTTCGATTGACTTGCATGATAGTACGAATACGTCCTTCGGTGTCTTGCTTCTATCCTTGCTCCCCAGTTTTCTTCAGTGTGAACGTGTAGCTAGCTGCCATACGCAATATTACAGTATACCGAATAGGAGTACTGTTTATATTTATCGGCCAACAGACGGTAGCCAATGTCACGTGCTAAGTTCTTAGTGTTGGCGCTGACTGAACTCTATCAGTCAGATATCTAGGGTGATTCGTCATCGCCATGTACTCTGAATTAGTGTTAGGTGGTTTGTGTCAACCTATCGGCTCCAGTCATCCAACGTAAATACTTCTGCTTAACAGGTTGAGGGTTTAACATTCAATGTTGAATGTCAGTAAAAGTGAAGGCTTTTAGTTCAAGGGAATTATTTATTGTCAAAGTCTCCATTGGTACTCAGTCACGATGGGATTCAGTGTCATTCGACTGGTGACTGACTGAATTAAAATGGGTTTGGTTTATGACTGACCATAATATACTCATAGATATTCTTAATTTCTTCTTAATTTTCTCAAAAATTAGTCTTTCCTTAAACGGAAATGAGGCTGTGTAGCTGCATCGACTAGGATGTCTGTTGTATGCACTATGCATATCAAACTGTAGCCTTCTTCGTTTGGAAATACTGGCTGAATTAGGATAGAATGGAAAAACTTTTGGGGATGGTTGGTTAGAAAAATGCCATCAATCCATGAAGTCACGGACTATTAGTTTGAACTCCACTGGGAAGTGTAAACTGTCTGTCTTGAGTTCTAGATATACCTACAGCCAGCATTTGGAGACTGTGAATATTATTATTATTGTTGTTTCCTTTAATTCCTAGAGGAACATAGGGCTTCAGCCGTGCGTCTCCATTGTGTTCGGTTCTGTGCTAGAATCTTCACCTGGCTCCAAGTCTGCCCACACGTTTTCATCTCCTCTTCACATGACCTCCTACAAGTCACCCACCGTCGCACTGACGACCAACTCGCCTCTTCCCTTTCGGTCGGGTTCCACTCGAGCAATGGCTTGTCTAGTGATGTCAATTGATGGTTTCCTCAGAGTATGGCCAATCCATCTCCATTTCTTCCTGCCTATTTGTTTCACAATCGGTTCCTGCTGTGTTGGTTCGCCCCCAGAGATCTCTGTTTCTGATGTTTCCTGGCTATCTGATCTTGAGTATTGAGAGAAGACAGCTGTTAATGAAGGTCTGTAGTTTGCTGAGAGACTGTGAATAGCACAACTCAAAATCGTTCCTATTCTAAAGGTTGTTCAGATTACAGAAATTTTCGTTTCTCTTCATGAGATTATTCTCTCTCAGAGGCATTTGCGTTTGTTGTAGTTCCAGTGTACTTCTTATTTCTATATTCATGTGAGCTTTTACGAATCAAACTACTACCAGTAAGAAACCATCCTCGAAAAACATAAGAAAATTCATCTTAACATATAAATGTAAAGAATGCTTCTGAAATAATAGCTGGAAGAGATTATGACACACACAAACCAACACAGTCACTTCATTCAATTCTGTGCGCAGTTCAGAAGCCCCAACCCAACAGCAGTAT